GCTTAGATTTGGTACCGATTGGTGACGGGTTCTCTTTAGCCGCTTACCTACCGCCTGATACAGTGCTACAGAGTAGCCGCTCTGCACAAGATAATTTATTTATAGGTAGGGGGAGCAAGTGCTGATCGCCACTAAAGCTGACGGGAGAGATCTGTGTGTAAACAACAAAGATCTCTCCCCTGTCAGCATGGACATGCTGCTTTCTCTCTCTCTGCAGAGCAGAAAGAGAGAAAGCAGCATGTCTCCTTAGTAAAACAGCACACAGTGTAAGCACAACACAATGAACCCTTTGATTGACGCAGATGTTAACCCCTTCCTGCCCAGTGTCATTACTATAGCGTCAGTGCTTTTTATTAGCACTGATCACTGTATTTGTGTCATTGGAGATGTCAGTGGCCGTTCGTTCCGACCCAGTGTTCAAATGCCTGTCGCTGATCGCCGCCATTACTAGTATTATAAAAAATATATATATATTCCAGTGTATATATACCGCCATTTGTAGATGCTATAACGTTCACGTAAACCAATTAATTTACATGTATTGGGATTTTATTTTTAGCAAAGACGTAGCAGAATACATTTTGACCTAAATTTATGAAGAAATTTTATTGTTTAAATTTTTTCATTGGATATGTTTTATAGCAAAAAGTCAAAAATATTATTTTTCTTTTTCAAAATGGTGTTTTTTTATTTTTTTATGCTATAAGCAAAAAAATACCATCAGAGATGATTAAATACCACCAAAAGAATTCTGTATTTGTGGGGAAAAAATGACGTAGATTTCATTTATGTACAGCATTGCATGATCGCACAATTGTCAGAGTAATGTAGCGATGTACCGCAAACATGGTCTGGTCAGGAAGGGGGGTAAATCTTCTGGAAGGAAAGTAGTTAATGTACACTGCTTACAAATTTGAACATTCTGCATATGAGTCAAAACACACAATATTAAGTGCAAGACAATTACATTGGAGCACAAAACCAGGAGACCCTATATAACATCTTAATAATGGTAGCAGTGACAGTAGCAGTGAAGCCAGACTCATAAGGCTGGCCATGTAATACAATACAATCTCTGTTAGGACTTTTTCACACAGGCTTCCGTTTTTGGCAAACTTTGCTGAAGCTTTTAAAGTAGCATTCAGCTCTAGTTTGTAAATGTTGAACACAGATCCTAATGAGAGTACTGATTGCCACTTTAAGCAAGCTGCTAGCAGGCTTCAGCACTACTTGGAACTTGTTGAACACCTGCCAAGACCAGCTAGCAGCTTGTTTAAGGTGACAATCAGCACTCCCATTAAGATCTGCCTATAACATTTTTAAAAGAAGCTGAAGGGCACTTCAGAGGCTTAGAGAAAGCTGCTCATAACTTGCTAGAAGCTTTGCAAAAGCTTTCTGAAAATATCATAAAAGCTTGCTGTTCATACTGCTCTTATACACGCTGAAGCCCATGAGAAACAAGCCTTAGATTTACCATCAACAGTGCAAGGGCTTGCCTTATTGGATACTAAATGCATGCATTATTTTGGTTTGTCCTCATATTAAATGGTTTTGACAAAATTAAAGTGATTGTATAACGTATGAACAGGTTTAAAGAAATTATATTTTTTTCGTCTATTGATTTATGGTTTCATATTGTGAAGTGAAAAAATGCTGCACTACATGAAACAATGGCACAATCCTTATATAACAAAAAACAAAGTGGAAAAAAAAAAATATATATATATATGGAAAACAAAATAGTCGAAAAAATTATTAATATTGAAATATAAAAAAAAAATATATATATATATATAAAAAACAAAAACCACACATATTATATTTAGGTATGAATCAAACAAAAGTCATTCAGAAACTCAAGTTCAATCAATAAAGTGTTCTCCAGTAAACCCTTCTTTTGGGTAACTAAATATATGTGCATCTGTCATAAATTCCCGTACAAAGACATCCTCCACCATATATCTGCTCTCCTCACGCAGTGCGACGTCACATTATACAATGTTACGGTCTAACTGTACTTTTGGTCCCATATAGACTCAGAAGATCAGCTTGCTGAATGAAGACTCCAAAGTAAGCTCCCTCCTGATAAGCGTCTTTGTATCAGCCGTATTCCTCATTAAAAAGAACTCAACATAGTGCTTTATCCTTTTAAACTTTTATTCATCAATTAAACATAAGAAATACACTCAAGTTCTGGAGGTGTATTTTGCACCAGGTATGATGAACATCCAGTGATGAACTGATTAGAGACAAGATGGCAGTATCATCTCCGCAGCAGAGTCCTGTACATGCTAAAAACAGACACCATACGTAATTTAATGTAAGGCAAGGCAAAGCACGGGCCCACTTAGTGAATGCTATTGCCTGCTGTAATGTCGTTCCAAGAGCCGTTTACAGAGTACTACAACCACTGTCCCGATGAATGGTAACGTCATTACGTCATCCGCACACTCCTCCCCGATCTATGGTTGTCCCAAGCATGTTTGAAGCCACTTACTGTTGACTGGAAGTCTATTCCAAGCATCAGCTACTCTTTCAGTAAAGTAATAATTTCTAAGCGTTCATTTTAACTTTTTCTACTGCTAGTTTGAGTTTATGTCCCCGTGTTCTTGGTCCCAAGACCTTTCACCATTTTGTTACTCATCTCTGGACTCTTTCTATCCTATCAATATCTTTTTGTGAGGTCAGCTACTGCGGGCTTGAGATTCATCTCACACACGTAACCCTGCCACTTGTGTCAACGTGCCAGCAATAGATTCGCTAAGAGAGCATCTTCTTCTATGGTGTTGCTGCCTCGCTGGCGAATCAGTGAGACATTGTTCAGTCACTAGGATAACTAGTACTGCTCCCCAATCCAAGTTAAAATGTCTTCAACCATAGAATTCTGTTGCCATCTTTTAGAAACTTGTGTCTTGTTAATTATCTCACTTGCAATGTGCCTAAAACAGGATGGAAGATAAGAGATGGTTGACACCTCAGTTAATGGTGGATATTCCTAAGCTATAGGCTCTAGGTCCAGCTTTGGAGAAAATTTTAGTAGTATCTACCTAATGGCTATAGATTCCTTAAATAAAAAGGATATTATTATGTGTGCCCATTTTAAATACATCAAACCCTTACATATAGCCAGCGAAGTGACTGGCCTCAGGTGATAAACAGAGATGAAAAAAATCCTCCTATACAAGTTGTACCTGTTTATCTGTATTCTTACCTTCTCTACATCCATTCAAAGTGCTTAATTTTAAAGCTTGTCTGAGAGTTTAGAAAAAAGGGGGCAGAGAGCTGAAGTTACACTCTGCAGAGCTCTGAGAGCTGAATGGAGGGAAGAGACCCCCTCCCCCTCCCCTCCACACAGCTCACAGGAACAGAGTTGAGGCTGTCAGTCTGCTGGAGGTCCCTCCCTTGTCCCCATTTTATCTCTGGTGTCAGAAATTTTTTTTTTAGAAGTGACTCATGCTGATAGCAGAGGAATGAGGCAGCAGACAAAAATGACACTTGGTGCTCTTAATTGAGACAGGTACAGAGGGATATGCTATAGAGGGATATTCTTTGTTCATATTTGATGTCTGAGGTTTACAACCACTTTAAGTACCTAGTGAAGTTCTTCTTTAATAACCATATTTTATTTGTGTTTCCTTGCAGGCGGTGATGTGCTGTTTGGGGATTTCTTAGTTATCCTGGGAGCTTGCTTGTATGCAGTTTCTGATCTGTGTCAGGAGTATGTGGTGAAGAAGTTATCTTGTGTGGAGTTTCTGGCAATGCTGAGCCTGTTCGGGGCATTTGTCAGTGGGACACAACTGTGAGTACCTATACTTTGCTTGCAGATAATTCACCATAAAGAAGACCTCAAGCAGATATGTTTATTTAGTTTTGGATGGAAGGCCACAAGGACAAGTTGTGGGTAAAATCATACTTGCACACTAACTAGATCTAACTCTTTGAGGGTCTTCCAGTGATCACCACCTCTCACTGCTCCTGTTTTTGCCAGCTATACATGAGTCTGTGCATTCCCTGTTAAAGTCAGTGAGGGCAAAACCCAATTTTGACTGGTGGAACCAGCAGGGTTGTGTCATGGACCTACTTAAGGAATTGGAGAATGTTCTGTGAAAGCAGGTGGTTCTAGTGTGAGGGCCTCAGCAGGTTTTGGAGTATCTGTTGTGCCAGTTCACAAACAGAAGCAAAGTTGAGAGATAGCCATGTTTGAAATCCAACGGCTTAATTGGACAGGATACGGTGGGAAAGACAAAAAGCTATTGGAAGTCAAAATCACAATCCGAGGGTCAAGAATCCAAGAAACACAATGCAAGTAGTAGTACAAGAGCCTAGAACATGGGTTGGTACCTCCTATCACGGTCAAAGTCTGAGTGTCCTGATTTCTTTTAATACTTATTATTTTGTCTCACCCATGTATTACGCTATCACCATTACATGCAGGGAACTGTCTCGAACATCCATTGTTTTATAGCATACCATACAAAAGTATATCCAAGAAGGTGGCAATATGTACATCGTTACGGAAAACATCGGTGAACTATTCAGTTGGTGCATTCCCACCACAGAACAGTAAACCTATGTGTTGGCAAAGTCAAAAGGAAATGTCCTAATTGATCCAGTCCATTGTGAAGATGGCCGATGCCTCAGCACTTACTATCGTCTCTTATGGATTCTAATTAGAATCCCTAATTTGTTTTCTTTCTCTTTGTATTTTATGTATCACCAAAGCATGGTACTTGAATCAGCTTCTGTTGCCAGCATTGATTGGAATTGGAATGTAGGTAAGTAACTTTTCTTTCAATAGATTATTTTTTCTATTCATAAACACATAAAATATTGAGCCTGCTGAGTGGCAAGTAATGTGGCTTAAAGTGTTACCAGACCCATGACCCTGCATTGGCTATATCTGATCTCCCACAGTACACAGAACATAGAAGTGCAATTATTTTAATAAATATAAACTGCTAAATACCTTTTCTCATCAGCAGTTAGAGCAGTCTTGTGACTTCTATCAGTGTCCAGCCGAGCACTGGTTAATCTTGTAGGAGAAGTTTTCATTCTGCTGTAGTAGGATGCAGGACCCCTGACCTCTGTCTGAACAGTACCGATTGACCCTGTACTGATCACATGCACTCTCCCAAGAAAAAAAAACCCTTTCTAGTAATACACACCAAACTAAGCATGTGCAGAGTGACTCCACATGATATATCTTATCAGGAGATAAGAGGAGGGCACTGGAAGAAGGGGAGGATCAGAGAAGTCAGGATCAAACAGTGTTTTTACACAATGCAGAGGATTAACCTCTTAGGTTCCACGGTGAGTATAACAAGCATGCTTTACTGCATATACAGACTGATTTTACTGTTGTGGGTTTAGTAACACTTTAATACTCGAGTAAATTTTATATTAGACGTTGGTGCTCTAAAAAGATAACTTTTTAATATAAAGGTGAGCACTATCTTTTAACTCATAAGATCAGCTTGTTCCTAAATATCCTTGGTCATATCAGAAAATACATTTAATATAATGTTTTTAGCAGATCTGTGAGCTGACAGTGCTAGGCCTTGCTCTTGTGTGAGTATAGGCAAAAGATACACAGGATTCTCAAGGTTACAGTTTTGAAGGGCTTTGTAGAATTATTTCTGAGTGGAGAAGGTTTGTCTTGTCTGTGTTCTCCAGGTTTGGTAATCCCTTATCAGGAACTGGAGCTTGGAAACTTCAAAGAGATGTGGGTGGGAAGAGGTCTTCAATTCTGTACCCAGGTTCCAATGGAGAACTGGAGGTTGTGAGAGTGTGCACAACAGTTATAAGTGAGGCCTGGCCTTAGCTAAGTCAGGAGACAGTTGTGTTCTCCATCCAGGAGATGGGTATACTCCCATTAGGACAGATGATCTATTCAGCAGAAATTAATAATACTCGTGAGCCAAAATGTGATACTCCCCTTGTGCAATAAATTAATTAACAAACTATTACATCAAATTATGGTGCATCAACACTTTACACAATACTCATTATCTGTGTGAAACATAAAACATGTAAAAAAATGTATATATCTTCAAATACATATACAGGTGCCGCGCTCCATAATATAAACTTAAAATCATATACAAATGATCATATAAATAGTGATGTGAAAAACGTATGTGCTTCAAATCAGTGCAATGTATAGTGCTTTTCAAAATATTACTACTTAAATACTCAAAAATAAATTCATAAATAGTCCTCTTTGTGCTTTATATCTTTTCAGTGACAAATACAGTGTTGTGCCACACTCCCCGTGCTCTATAGATAGGTGTGCACTCACCTCCTTAATTAGCCAAACAAAGTGGCTAACAACACTTTTGTCCTATCAGGACTGGGTGGTAATCTTCATACTATATATGTATTTCCATCCATGCTGTGGATTTATATTGCCATTTTCCTGCCACCAGAGGTCCCCCTTATTCCTCCTTCCACACTGAGCCTCAATGGATAATTAGGGATGGTATTTCCTCCTCCCAGTATATTGGGAAACCATGTAAGAAAGAGCCACAATAGTGCCTTATCCTTTGTGAGTAAAAAAGTTACTTCCGCATTTAGCTTCTGTTTCAGTGCAGCTCCCGGTCTCTGCTCCTGGGAGCCACATCACTGTTCACATCACTATTTATATGATCATTTGTATATGATTTTAAGTTTATATTATGGAGCACGGCACCTGTATATGTATTTGAAGATATATACATTTTTTTATATAATCTATTCAGGAGACTGCACTCCATGTTGGAGAGATTCCTTGCCCACAGGACTGGCAGAGTTGGGACAGCTGAGCAAGTCTGGAGGAGTGGGGAAGCTGAGACGGCTAAGCAAGCCCAAGGGACTAAGAGTCTGTGAGTCTTTGAGTAAAAGAGCCTAAGTGGCCAGTAGATCCCATATTGAGAGGCCAGGGTATGGACCTGTGCAGCTGGATACTGTAACTAAAGGCCGGTAGAGCCCAGAAAGCTGGGTCTGACAAGAGCAGCAGAGTGACTATAGAGAGAGACAGGTGACTTGGCATTTTTATTACCTGTTTTTTAATAGTGAAAATCCACTGCGTGGGCAACTATTTTCGTGGCCTTTACTTTTTGTTTTGTTTCAAGTAGAACTGTGGCAAAAAATTTTTTTTTTAATTTCAGATAGAACAAAGAAGGATTGTAACCCCTATAATTTTTTTTTTTTTTTTTTTGCCATCTGTGTCCCATTGGGGAGATTTCCATTCACTTCCTGTCCCATAGCCAAAAACAAGAAGTGAGAGAAAATCCCTGCAAATTAAATGAATCCCTTGGGGACCCCCAGGTCTCCAGAATTAGTGTCCCCATTTCCCTCTATTATTTTTCTGGGGACAATTTTCCCTCTATTTTTTCTGGGGACAACCCATAATTTGGGATTTTCTTTTACTTTCACTTTCAATGATAATGATAAACAGGACAAATAGGGTGAATCTCCTAACTGGACACAGACAGCAATAAAAACTGACAAGGGTCTAATTCGTCTCCACTCTGTCCAAAATGTAAAAAAAAGTTTTGCCTTTAGTTATACTTTTAATAAAAGTGGTTTGGCAAGCCCTTAAAGCGGAGTTCCACTCACGCTGTCAAAAAATAAAAGTCAGCAGCTACAAAACCTGTAGCTGCTGACTTTTAAAAAACAGCCACTTACCTGTCCCTTGGTCTCTTGGTGTGTCCCCCTGTATTCCAGGAGGCCGGCATCTTCAGTGTGGGCACCCGGCTGTGATAGCTTGTGGCTTCACAGCCGGGTACCCACTGCGCATGCGCGAATAGTGCTGTGCTTCATGAGTGGTCCTGTACTCTTCTGGGACATGTCACTTGTCCCAAAAGACTACAGGAAGGGAGGGAGGGAGGACACCTTCCGCTTTTGGTTGCCTTGGCGATCTGACTGTAAGTGGGAGCGGGTACATGTCAAATTCGAGTACCCGCTCCCCCCCGCCTTAAATATTTTTAATATTTATTTTTAAATGAATGAGAAGTACAGTTCTTTAATTCTTAAAGCTAGCCTATTTATAGTCGTGTATCTACAACAGACCGTATAATCACAGAAAGGTAGGTAGATGTGTATGCTAACAAGAATTGCACAGATGTGTTGGATATAGTACCTGAAATGTTGTAATGTTCTTTTCATCATGTTTCCAGATATCTGATTTTTTCCATTCATGCTGATCTTGTATTTGTGCTTCTCTTATAGGATTGCTGTATGCAGGTTATGCCTCGTGCTATGTTTTTGGTTTTTACACTGTGATGACATTTGTGGTTCTACACTCCAGTGCCACCTCCGTCGTCTTAGGCTTGCTCAGTGCTGACATCTATAGCCTGTTCATTGGCCGCTTTTTATTTGGCTACAAGGTAAACACTCAATAATTTAAAACATTTTATAAGTAGTATTTTACGTGATTTTCAATATTCAGAGTAGTATATCTTGAACTATTCAAATCAGTCCCTGACCCCAAAGGCGTACATAATCTTATGTCCCTGCCACATTCATACACACATTTAAGTAGAAGTGCAAAAATTTACAGGCATTTTTTGGATTGTACAAAGTAGGTGGGGTACCTGCGGAAAATGTATTGTAAGGAGAACAGGCCCTACTGGTAATGGGTGGCTGCTGTAAATCATGCAATGAGGCAGGGACACTCAGGAATAAACATGTTTGTTCTGCATTTTTATTCTGGAAAGTAGCAAGCAAAGAGTTTTTCAATTCAGGAGAACTTTACAGCAAGTCCATAGCATAAAATAAAAAACAATCTGCTCACCGGAGCCGCTGACTAAACTCCATTCCCTAATGGGTTCCCCAAAACAATTACTTAGCACATGTACCTTTTTAGTGTTTAGTCAGTAGACAGCATCAGCTCATATACAGTATATAACGTCCTGTGCATAGCTAAGGCTAATAATGATGTTGGGCTGCAGATAGAATATGGACCTAGGAATGAAGGCTAATTCCCCACTCAAAGCTCTACAAAGACTCTGGGCTGCAGGACCCCAAACAGACCTAGGATAAGAATAGGATTCAGTGTAACCAATTTTGTTTTCTCCATATCGGTCATCAGTCCTGGAGACCCTCACCTTGTGTTGATGAGAAGTTTAGGTGATACATATACCATTCCACAATCCTGCCAGCCAATGCCTCCCAGAGTATGTAAACGCAGGGAGAACATACATTCTCATACAGAGTGTCCTGGATTTCAGCTCTGCAAATCCAGGGTACCAGCCATTGTGCTGCCTGTAGTAACTATATGACAGATGGTACCTAAAGATTTATTCTCCTGTTTTCAATATAGCCACATAGCATAAACTCACTACAGTTTAAAAAAAATTAAAGTTGTACAGAAATGTGCTCCTATTAACATACATCCATTCCTTGTCAGCTTTTCATAGCTGAGCAGGTATGGCCATGTTAACGGTCAACTCCACTTTTAATAAAGTTGTCCTACAAATTCTCTTCTCACCTCCTCAGTGGAAACCACACAACTTAAATACCTTCAGCCACACTTCTGAGATCTTCAATGTGTGGTCCTGTCTGGCTCTGCACAGCTTTTGCACAAAAATACTGCCCTTGTCTTGATCCTCCAGCACATGCGTGCAGATTGTGCCACTCATTCTTGTAGCTTGGACCGTATTCCTGGGATAGTTGGAGCCACACCATGAGTATGGCCATAGCCATGGGAATGAATGGAACAAGTGGCACACATGCACAGGAGGAACTGGATATGACTGCAACTTTTTTGTGCAAAGGTTTTGTGGTGACAATCAGAGGCAGTCAATTATAATCATCAGAGGAGGGACTGAAATTTCAGTTCCTACAATGTGTCAAATATCAGCATGAAGTAATGAGGAAAGCATAGTTATTGTACCAGTGTGAGGACCTGCCACTGTGTAAAAATAGGCAAACTCAACACTGGGTTTTCACATATGCAGAGTGAGGGGGGCTTCAGAGTGTCTGAACTAGAGCAGAGAAATTGGGTATTGGTTTTCTCCAGGTTTTGTAATCCTGGATCAGAGTCTGGAGTCTGAATGCCTTAAAGAGTTTTTGGTGGGATGAAGCCTTCAATCCTTTGACCATGTCTTACTGCAGGCTGTGTGAGTGTGCAGGTGTGCACACTGGAGATAAGCAAGGACCTGACCATAGTGCAGGGCTCCCACAGGAGACAGATGTGTGCTCCTTCAAGCAGACAAGTGTACTCCTATTAGAAGAGGTGGTCCAGTTGAAAGACTGCAGTCCATATTGAAGAGATTCATTACCCACAGGACTGATAGAGTCGGGGCAGTCTGGAGGACTGGGAGAGCATGAGGAGACTAGTAGAGTCCAGGGGACTGAGGGAATCTGTAAGTCTTGGAGGAGTGAGAGAG